TCCCTTCTCTTTCTTTCTTCGTAAGAAAGCTCTTTATCCTCACTCTGTAAGGGACATGGTAACCAAACTAATTTTAAAGGCTGCCTTTTGCCTGCAGACTTCAGGCCTATTGTGAAATGCATTATAAGCTCTGTCTGTCAGGGGAAATGTAAAAGCTGGCAGATCTCTCCTGCTTGATTCTGTCCATTTGGTGGGAAGATGGGGGAAGTATTGGCTAAGTTTTTGGCATATGATCCTCCAACCACTTGGCCTTGTTAAAGAAGCAGGAAGAGCATGGTGACTATTTCCTCCCTAGAGCAAAAGCCAACACCATCACCTGAATGGAAAACCTGAACAGAAAGCATGTCAGATCATTGAAAGCCATTGTGAATATGCTGCTTAGAACATTGGATTTAAGTGCATCCAGATCCACCCAAGGTTCTCATATTAAGAGTTATACTATGACCCACATGGCAAGTGGCACAGGGCTGAGCAAACAAGGGCTTTTGTGCATATTTTCTATTTATTGGCTACATCCTCTCCAACTTCAGAGTGTTACATTTTTATTTTCTTCTGGTCATTTTTTTTTATAAAATTTTTCCTTTTCAGGTCAAATCTAAATGTTTTCTCATCTGAAACTCTCTTTAGTAGAATATCTTTCAGAGCTGCTTTATGATGAAATGTTTCCCCACAGCTTGAGGTTCTTATTTTAGCTTTACTAGTGAGGCCTCCTCTGGGGACGATCCCCCATTCTCTTCCCTGTGCATTAATAGCTGGTGGTAGTAGCAGATGGTGGGTCAAAGCACTCAAGCAAAACAGGGTTAAGTGATTTGGGTCTGCTTGTGGGTCAGGAATTTTAAAAAGGCTCAGCTGTATGATTCTTCTGTGCCTCATGGAATGGGCTGAGGTTATCACTTAGCTGCATTAGGCTGGCAGCTGGGTTGACTGGAATGTGTAAAAATGCTTCACTCACAAGTCTGGCCCCATGGTGATCCTCCACATGGTACCTCTCTCTCTCTATGAGTCTCTCTCTATTTAGTAAACTACCCAGAGCTGCTTTACAGTGATAGCTGGCTTCTCAGAGGGAGAAAACAGAAGCTTTAAGTGTTCTCAGGCTCATTTGGAAATCCAGAATAGCACTTCCACTGCCTTCCATTGGTCTAAACAATTCACAAAGCCAGTCTATCTTCAAAGAGAAGGGACATAGACTCTGTTTCTTGAGAGACAGAATTTGCAACCATCTCTTACATAAGGCCATAAACAAAAACTATATATATTTTTTATTTTATCCCTGTGTCCCTATTTAAATTTAAAATCTTCATTTGCTTCATTTTTCAAACAAAAAGTGATTAGGAGACCCTTCCAACAATGAGTTATAAAATTAAGCCTTTATTTATCTTTGAAGAGTTTATTTTTTCTACGCACAAACCCAAAGATATACTACATATTTTAAGACAAAAGATTTTAGATAGTTGCTAGTATACAGCCTCTGTTATACTTACCAAGTTATCTGTTTTTAGAGTTATATACCATGGCATAAGCTTAAACAACACTATCACTTTAAGACTAAATATTTCATAGCTTCTCTATGTTAGATTGTCCTATACAAGTTAAATTAAAATAGATTTTTTTTGCAACATATATAATACAGGAAAATAAAGGGCATAGAAACATAACAGGCCAAGCTTCTTTATCCAATGTGTGATTGGAATTGAAATTTGTATTGCATTTTGGGAAAGGCCAAGCAAGGAGAGAAACGTTACTGGGACTGCTGAGTGAATTTTGTTTACTGCAGTTCAACATTTCATCTAGCAAATCATGTGAGCTGGGACGGGTATAAATGCACCTATTTATGTAGGTAATTTTTCTGTTTCATGCCTCTGATTCATCTCTCGGCCTTGCTTTATGGGGAGTCATGCCACATTGGTTACAATTAATTTCAGTGCTGCATATTAGCCATAAAAAGATCATTCATAAATTGACTTGATGTATTTTTTTTCCTCTGTGGTTTTCTTGAAAGATGAGAATGGTCCAGAGGAAAAGCAAAGTGCGGAAGAAATGGATGGGCAGAGCCAAGAAGCAGGTGGGCTCAGATTTCTTTTGAGGAGTCTCCTAGGCCTCATCCACAGAGGTGAACAATAACTTTACTCAATGCTATTGTCTGAAAATGCCTATACCTTTTCACTAGATTACCTCCAGAGTTCATTTAGGTCTCCCTCAGGAAGCTAACAGCTTCTTTAACTAGGAGTTAACTGTGCTTCCAAATAGAATGGAAAATTCTCATGTGTCCTTCACCGATTCCATTTTCCTTCTGTGTGATAACAGGTTGCTCTAAGAGGGATAGTCGGAAGTTGGCATGCCAAGTCAAAGGGTTTGACTGACTTAGGTCAGGCCAAAATTTTTACATTTAGTTTGAGGGAAAAACCAGACACTGTTGGAAGGAAATGAGAAAAAGGCTTTCTCTTCCAGATGACTAGAACATTCTTTACTGCTTTGCATTACATTTTGAATAACCAGGCATCTTACTACTACCTGTATGTTGTAGGAGATGGTGCCCTGGGCCCTCTTTCCCCCTGGTTACAGCACACACAGCTAGAATTGAGAGCTAGAACCTTTCTGACATCACCTCTGTTTGCTGAAGGACAAGATATGGCAATGGAATAGCCACAGATTCTAGACTGTGGATTATAAATTGAACATTTTAAAATAAAATAGCACTTAAGACTCAAAAGAGATTGAAATCACCTTTGATTTATCATCTCTTCCTACCCATTTTTGTACTTGAGCACGCTCTTCTTTAAAAGAGTAATAGAAACAGTCATGCAGTTATTGATATAACCACCAAAATAAAAATATCCTTCTTCCTTCTCATTTCCAAGTCATGCTCCCAGTTCTAATGAGCCCCATGGAGAGGAATTTTTGAAATAGTAGGCTCTGTCTAATGTGTGCCAGGCACGTCCTAGGCCATATGCTGAACTCTTGGAATTAAACTAGGTAGTGAGATAAGTTTTCCACTGAAAACTTCCTACATTAACCTTGCAGTTTTTGCTAGGGAGTTGGAAGCTTTTATTATTAACCTGAAAGATGGAATTGAAGAAGGCCAATCAGAGAAAGCACTGAAGCAAGGCAGCAAGGACCTTGTGTACCTGTTACTGGGTCAGCCACTGTTTACTGTAATGTGGCCCATGCAATGAAAGGGATTTGTGACACAGCAAACTGTTGTCGTCCGCCTCCACCCCCAAACCACACATCATTATGCTCGATAGAAGATGATTCTTATGTGAGAAGCTGTCACTGTTTTTATTGTTTAGAGCTGACAAGAATTAGTCAACTTCTGCGGTCAGCTGGACCCTTTTGCTGGCTGCTGAGGTTGCATGGATTTTATTCACTCACTGCTTCATCCCAAACTCTTTATTGACATACATTTTTTCCCAACTATGTACATACATACGTACACACACACACACACACATACACATTTGCCTATGTTTTATTTATCCTTCCTTTTTCCTATAATCAGTAGATCATAGGTCATTTCTTTTTTGATTTGGGGTCACCTTGCCTGAGAGCAGAGAGTGGTAGCCGGTAAGCTTTCTTCTTCACCTCTTAAATCTGACAGCATTACCTACACAAGATCTCTCAATGTGAAGAGTCTAAAATGCATCCCTGAGTGGCTCCTTTTACTCCTTCAAGTGAGCCTGCTGGTCAGGATTCATTGATAATCTCGGCAGGTTTCAGCATGCATTGTTACATTCACTCTGCTCATTTTATAGCCCACTTAATCAGAATGCAGTGAAATGAGAGATGTGGTTCTGGTCATTAAAACCCTTTTGACCAGTTGTTATTTTTTTCTAAAATAAAAATTTTAATCACTATTCAATATATTTCTAGTTTCAATTTTGATTATATAACTACAGGCCTGTTCCAGCATGAAAAAAGTACAACCACAAACAACAGAATTCAGCTCTCTTGTCTATTGTCATGATCAAATCAAATCAAACTAGCAGATCATATTCAGCAAAAAAAAATTATTTGACAAAACATATTAAGGGTTTACTGTGTACCAGGCACTGTTGTGGGCACTGGGAATATGACAAAAATAAATAAGGGCAGCAAACCAATTTTCTTGAAACTTATATTCTACTGAGAGGATCTAAACAATAAAATAAAATCGATAAAAATATCAATACTAATAAATCTCTTGCAGAGATATAAGGTAACATGGAAGGAATACCCAGAAGGCTAGTTTTCATTGGCTGAATTTGGAGAGGATTCTCTGAGGAGAAGATAATTTAAATGAGATCTGAAAGGTGACACGGCGAAAGAGCATTCTAAATGGAGGGTATAGATAATAAAAATGCCTCCAGGCTAGTTTGGGTCTAGCACATTGGAGAAAGAAGGCTGGTATAATGGGACTGCGGTAGACAGAGAATGTCATGATATTTGCTAAGAGATCATAGGACCACATCATGTCTAGCTGTATAAAATCAATATTATAAAAGCTACAAAGAGAAGTCAATGGAAAATTTTAAGTGTCAGAGAGACATGGTCTATGGTATTTTTTTAGAGAAAGAGATTTTTGCTATAAGGCATGTGCACTAGCCAGAGAGACAGAAAGTGAGAAATCCCCCCATCAAGGGACATGGCCATGCTGCAATCCCTTCTCCTCCAGTCTCCTCTCAGGATTTTGGGCACACATGCATATGTGCCTGGAATCAGTTTTAGGCTCCCAGGTCTGAGACACGAACTGTAGTCAATTACATCGGGGGTCAGTGATGTAACCATTACACTATCTGCTGGTCTCTGTGTTTTAATAAGCTTTCTTTGTGAGTGAAAAATGGGTCAAAAGAGACAGAGTGAGGCCAGTTAGAAGGCAACTGCAGGAAAGCAATGATGGTTTCTGTAAATAGTGACAAAACAGATTGATGAGTGTTACATTCTAGAGACAGAGACAATAGGACGTGACAGATAGAAAGAATCATAGACGAAAAAGAAGGAATCCAAGATAAGTGCTGAATTTTTAGCTTCAGTAACAACATGGATGATGGTGTCACTGAAACATGGGAGACCAGATACAGGCAGTTTTTGCTAGAGATTTAAAAGTTCAGCTTTGGCTGTAGTAAATTTGGAGGACACTGAGACAGCTATGTGTCCTCCATGGCTCAAGAAGCCAGTTAGAGATATAAGTCCAGATTTCCAGGAAGAAGTGTGGACTCCCAGTACAGGGTAAAAGTCACTGGCCTATAAATGATAGTTAAAACCATAGGCTGGATGGGATTTACTAGGGAGAATGTGAAGAAGGACATTGAAGGAGCCTGGGATGCCATAACATCTACATCAGTGGCAACAGGAGAAAGGGCAGCCAACAGAAAGTATCTGAGGGGGACCAGTAGTTAGCACAATGGCTATGACACTGGACTCCCATGTAGTTGACTGCTGTTTGAGTCTTGGACCCGGTGGCTTAAAACTCACGCTGGGCATGTGTGTGTTCATGCCCAAGATCCTGAGAGGAGAATGGAGGAGAAGGGATTGTGGCATGGCCATCCCCCCTGGGGGGTGATTTCTCACTTTCTGTCTCTCTGTCTCTCTCGGTCTGTCTGGCGAGTGCACATGCCCTATGGCAAAAACCTCTCCAAAAAAAAAAAAAAAAAAAGTGTCTGAGGAATAAAGACTGTGAAGTGCTACTGAGAAGTCAAGTAAGATGAGACAAGAGAAGTGATCATTGGATTTGTCAAATGAGATCATGGGCACCTTTGATGGAGAAGCCAATTAGAATGAGTTACTGAGAGCAGGTGAAGTAAGGAAGTGGATGATAATAACACTAACTGTTCTTAGGCAGTTTTGCCTTGAAGGGAAGTGGAAAAACAGGAAGGCGTGATATCTAGGAAAGAAAGGTGTGATATTCTAACAGAAGAAAGTGATTCATCATCACCAATTATCCCCCTACTAAAAATTTAATTCTCTGTTTAGAATTAGAAACATAACCTAAAAGTAATAGTCATAGACATTATGGACAAAAAATATGCTAGAAATATGTGATTTGTCTCTAAATATATGTTATCAAGCATATGTGAGGTATCTTCACAACCCTTTTGCTGCATGGTAATATATATTTTTTCCTTTTCCAGTGAAAAGATATTAATTATTCCAAATGAATTTGATAATCATCCATGTCTTAAATGTACTATTTTGATTGTAGTTGGCCAATTCTCTATTATCTTGGAGGCTAAACATGAGTAGAGTCACAAAAGTGGTACCAATGTTACTGAGAAGAAAGATAAATTCTGATGAGGTTAATTGGTGCTGTGAGGGAGACAGGGACCCCTAAGTCTTAGCCCTCATTCTGTGCTTGGGTGACATGAAATCTCCAAATGGTTTCTGTGCCTTCCTCTGCATGATCCTCTTCTCTTGGGCCTCTGCACTGACAGCCATCAGAGCTGCTCCCTGCCGTGTGACAGCCTGGCATAATGGAGCGGAAAAGCTATGCTAAGAAAAACCAAACTTAAAACACAAAAGTGCTTTGTAGAAACCTTCCAGGTTATACTAGCTTTGCAACCTGTTGCAGAGACAAATAATGTATCATTTTCAGAGAGGTACAGAAGACGCAAAATGCCAGAGTATACTACTACTGACAGATAGTATTCTTTACCAAAAATATCAATAGTTTGTAACCCTCTGATCACCATCTTAACTGAAGGTTTCTGTTTAATTCATTATAGAAGAGAGCCACAAACCACTAGCCTCTTCAGAACACAGAGAGGGTATTACAGCAGGAAACTTGTTTCCACTTTCTTTGGTGGGATGGGGAGAGGTATGTGGTTGGCCAGAAAGCCACAGCTTGACAAGATTAGCTCTGAGACAGTGTTGCTTTTTTTTTTTTTTCTCTGTAGATGGTCTCAACACCACCACTGTGTCCAGTCCAACTTCAGAAGAGGCAGTTGAAGTCTGTAAAGATGAAGGTATGAGGCTACTTTACTAGTTCTAAAAATGACATACTCTTAAAAAGGCTACTATTGGGAACTGTTTGTATGAGAAGATGAAGCAGTTAGTAAATCTGATTCTCTATTTCCAAAACAATCAAATATCCCACCCGCTCTGTTTTATCTCCTATCTGGCCTTTTCAGAATTTATATATACATTCACATTTGTCTCTCTGGAAAAAATAAGTGTTTGGGAAATCAGAGAATGATGATAGAAATTATGTTTAAAGAAGATGTTTATTTGAAACACCAGAGTTAGCTGGTTCTGCTGTTTACAGCTACTCATCGGGAGTAAGTTCAAAGAAATGGCATTGGAGGACCACCTACCAGAAAGCTTCGTTATCCAAGAAAGAACTGCTTGAAATACTTCCTTACGAATTAATCTTTGGCAAGCATATCATTCTCTATTCTGTGGACTGTAATTATGAGAAAATGTAATTGACCAAAGTGTCCCCAGAAAAACAACAAAGTAAATGAAAACATAACTTTTCTTTTGATTTATTTGTTTGTTTATTTGGAGAGGTTTTTGCTATAGAGCTCAAGAGATTTTTGCTATAAGGCACATGTGCTTGCCAGAGAGACAGAAAGTGAGAAATCACTTCCCAGGGGGATGACCACACTGCAGGCCCTTCTCTTCTATTCTCTTCTTGGGATTTTGGGCAAGCACTCACATGTGCTCAGTTTTAAGCCACTGGGTCAAGGACTTGAACCACAGTTGACTATGTGGGAGTCTAGCAATGTAAACATTACTCCATCCACTGGTCCCAAGAAAATAAAACTTTTCTAGAAGAAAATTTGTGGGAAAAGGAGCAGGGATATTGATGTGGGGGTGCTAGGGTTATGAAAAAAATCATCTAAAGGAAATGAAGTAGTTCTATCTTTTCTTTCCCGTGATTAACTAGCAAGTTCCCACACAGAAAGGTAATATCATTTCATAACTGTTGTTAGTAACTATTAAAAACTGTCTGTGAGTGCAAGACTAGGTTGCTGTATTTTTACAAATGGATGTCTTATAAATCATGCAATTTGCTTGGAACTTTAAGATAAATATGTTTCATATATTTCCTGAGTTCAGCATGATATGCACATAGGTCCAATATTTAGCATTGATAATTGCTACTCTTCGAATCAGTGTTTATAAAATCAAAATATCCAGAAATTTAATCATCTACTATGTACATTATTAATTAATTTCATGTTTGGTTATTTTTCTAAAGAAGTGGTCTGTGTAGTGAGGGTCGTTGCTTAGTGTGAACTGTAGGACCATGTGATTGAAGCTTAAATCCTGTCTCTGACGTTTGCAATTTACATGACCCTTGACAAGTAATTTAAGTAATAAACAAGAAATTAAAAAGTGCTGAACGAGTCATGTCCAGTAATGAACTTTCTGCTTTGGTTTTCTTCTCTGTAGAAGGAGGACAATAATGATAGCATCTACCTCACAGAATACAGCAATACCTGTGAGTTGCTTAGACTGTTTACCTGACACGAATGTAAACAGGACTTCCCAGAAGACAGGATGAGATGGAGACGAAACAGTACACCTTTAGCAGGGTAAACTTTTAGGAGCAACATCTGTAACAGAAAAGGAATAGAAGCAAAGTTAGGTAGAGGGAGAAGGTGAGCTGTGATGCCTTCCCAGAGGTCTGAAGAAGAAAGAGGGTTAACTCTGAAGAAGGCATAATTCTTCTGAGATAGCCACAGCTGGGATGCTAGCCAGTCCATTAAAACTCCCATTGAGAAATCATTTGACACTGGTTACCCTGACAAGGGGGTATGGCCTTGGGTGAGACAATTGTATTCTAATGAGATAGTCCTGGAAGTGGTCTTTTTCTTGTTCACAGCCATGTTTCAAATGAATCTCTTGACATATCTCTTCATTCTATTTAGATATTGTTCTGATATCCCTGGTTTTAAAACCATTTGGTACATCAAAAATGTAACTGATGTTTGACACCTACATAGGTCTTAATAAGAAACACTAGGTCATCTTAGAGAAATAAACCTTATTAAGCCCAAGTGAAAAGACAGAAAGTGGTGTTCATCTTAAGCAAAAAATTTGACATTCCAATCATTTAGCTTGTTATAAAATCTTGAAGTGTCATGAAGTCAAATAGCAGGGTTTAAAAAACAAGAAAGAGATCTTCTCATGTGGAATGCTTTAAGCTGAGTCTTCCTGTTGAGTGGTTTAGTTTGGAGATACCGCATCTTTGCAAAAACACACTGTGATGTTTCTAGAAATTTCAGGATGTACCACTATTAGTTACTCATGCCAGGATCAATTTTTGCAGTACTTTTAGTTTTTTTAAATATTTTTTTCACACAGAATTTTTAATTGTGGTAACTCTATCATGCGGTTCTGTCTATATCACAACTACAGTTCGCTCATAAGACTAAATGTGAAGTGCTATAGACTTTATTGAAGAAAATGAACATCCAGTAACCTTCTTACTTGAGGAAAACAAATGTTTTAAAAATCCATGTTGTTATGTAATTTAATTAAAAATAAAACATATAGGATATGTTTTCTGCCTTCTGAAACAGCACGTACAGAAGATCACTTTTTTATGACTTATCAGTTTAAAACTTAGATCAAATGTCTAATGCTTATGGCACTGTCATCTTGACTGACAGATGCATAGCTTATAATGAAAAAAAAATTAAAAATCTTTTTTTTTAAATTGAAATCCACCAAGACTGACGTCAAGTTAAAGTTAAAGGCAATCATAGGTCGTGAGAATTCATTTCAAACATTCTCATTATTAGCTTCCATACTAATTTCTTTCCTCCGTGACATCAGGGCTATTTCAGTGCTCTACAGTTGTAAGATCATTTACAAAAATGCTTATTACACTCTCAATTTAAGTAGCAGAACACTTTTGCTGTCCAAAGGTCCTGAAAGAGCCCTTGTTCTCTTGACTTTATCTTCAGATTTGATCCTGACTGCGAATCTTCTTGAGCTTTGGAATCATCAATATTATGAACTGGCTTTTGTTTCTTTTTCTTTCATTTTTCCAATATAACTCCCAAGGAGTTCGGAATTCATTTAGTTATTTCCAGTTTTATTGGTTGACTGACTTTACATTTATTATAACTTTAATTTTCATAGAATACAGTGTCTTTAGGGTACAAGGATTGAAAACAAGGAAGCAAGAAATTTAGATAGCTAATGTCAGTTTGTGGGAATTTTTTATATTATTATTAAAATGGTTAAGTGAAAATTGAAGAATTTTAGGAGAAAGTCTTATAACAAGCCAGGGTGTCTTCCACGTCAGCAATTTTGTTCAAATATTCTAGACATGTTTTGTGCAGGAACCCGAGAACTGTGCTTCTTGCCACTTAACCCACGTAGCTGCTAACTGTGCAAGCTGCTGACAGAAGAGGGTATGACTTGCCTATGGATCAAGAGATTGTGTTATCCACACTGAAGACAACTGTTCCCAATGAGTCATTACAGTGGTCAAGGAGGCAGGAGTTGAGCTGGGATGATGAGATATGAGGAAGAACACTGATGAATAATTCAGTGTTCAGGGGGAATGCCAAGGATGTGGCAACCAGGATTAAATCGAAATTAATTCCCATGGTACAGCTGGCCTAGAAAAACATTTATGAGTTGATAGGAGAGTTAAGGTTATTTGTAAGTTAGGTCCTATGCTTATCTACTAAAGAATTCTTCCTCTACTGATATAAATTACTAATTTAATGGTGGTTTCCACTTTAAAATCCTTAAAAAATAAATTCAAAAGTACACATTAGTTAACAAATATATAAGCAATCTGATGAGGGAGACATATATACATGGGAGTGAAATTCGTAGGAATCTCAAGTATTCTGGATGAAACATCTGTAAAGCTGTGGCTTTTATTAAGAAATAGTCAATCTGTAAAGAGAACTCTCTGTTCTAGTTGTCTCAACACTACTCATAGCTCTTCCTCACCTACTGTCAAAGTCTAAGAAACCTTTGTTGGAAACATTTTTTTTTTTTTTAAGTAAGTACTGTTTAAACACATCACGGTTCTCCTATCTTATTATTTAATCAGCACCTAATTTGAATTTGAAGGTCAACTAGACCAAATCACATGCTCATTAATATTAAAAGCAAAATCAATTAATACTCAGGTGCACACCCTAGCTTGTATTCATTTTGAACTCTGTGTAAGTCACTTCATTGCGATTTGTTATTTATGAAGTGGGATGTCACCTGACAAAGGATTTCTTAACACTTGCTCTAATTTTAGACCTTCGAAGACCAAAATTTTGATAGGAAAAAGGGGAAATATAGAGGAAGATTCAACCTTGCCAAGAAGAGCAAAAGAGAAAAGACAAGGTTACATACAAAGAAGCAGATTCAGGAGTGTACCAAAGAGGAACATCCATGCTTTCAACCATAGAGCACCATAAACCTAAGCCAGTTGTATTGGCTCAAAATTGCTCTGTGCTTTCATTCAGTCCTTGCTTAAATTGTTGAAAAGAAACAAAACATTGTACCACCCATGAAATTCTCCTCACTAGTCTAATGATAGATTTTTCTCAGGACTTTCCCTATTCTTGATGTCCACCATCCCCCAGTGAATATCCTAGCGTCTCACAGCAGGGCAAAGCTGTCCTTTGTCCTGAGTGTGTTTTGCCAGAGTATCTGCATACACATTAGCACCCCGAGTTATCACTTTTAGATTGTCAGAGTCTTAAGTGTGCAATGAAAGTGGCTGCCCTCTGGTAGTTCAGTGTAGGAGAAAGAATCAAATATATGAAGTGTCTCCTGTATTTAATGTGTTATGTTTATGTAGGATATATCCATCATTTCTCCAAAGGGTAACCTGAGACTCTTATAATATACCTATATTGAGCTCATATCTCTTAAAAAATAGCATTTATTCTACTTTTAATTTAATAATTTACTTTCCTGCTTATAAGAATAATCCATATGTATTTTAAAACACAGAAAATATAAAAAATAAAAGCATACAATTACCTTCCCT